TTCTCATTGACAACTATTGATATGTACTTATTTGAGATTTTATTATTACCAATTGATTTTTTTACCCATACTTTTATGTATTTGCCTTTAATATTTCTAGTTTATTTTTTTATCATTAATTTTAGTAAGTGCACAAATTTGTTTCTCTCTTTAGTTTTGTGATTAACTTTTATAATTGTATTTTTTTAGACCTTACTGCTGTTCTTTCTGAAGTCTGTGTTGTGTCAATAAACGTACGATTCTAATACACGTGTGATAATAAAGTGGGCGTAACTACCTACAGAACCATGCGACCTATATCAGTGTCTGCATTTCAGGAATAAATATTTTGTGAATTGTTAATTGGTTTAATTTGAATGTAAAAATGCAAAATATGCAAATGTATTTCTAAGAAATATAGATTGCACTCAATTAAAACATTATCAATATAACAAGACAGTTATGTCCTTCATTAATCATTGGCCTGCCACTGGTCCAGTCATAATTTACGAGTCAGCATAGATTAAACCTTAATTCATAAGACGAATGAGATTATAGACAGCGAGCATTAATAGTTGCAACTGACAATGAGTAGTGATGATTAATAAGCTATTTCAAAACATTTGAACCATAGTCTTACCCCTCGATTCCTCCGAAATATTCAACCACTTTCTCTTCCGCCATGTTGAATCTGTAGTCACATTGCGCATGTGCAGTATTTCATGTGACCTTGGGTGACCTTACATCTCACGCCCAGGATGTCCCGACACATACACAAAAACTGTTCCGTCTGGGTTCCACTCTGAAAGTCTTTGGGGAAAAATATCTATGTATGATAATATTTTACTGAACAAAATGTATCCGCCTGCTGTGGTCTACAACAAGTCGTTTATAATCAATAATCAATTTCTTACGTTTGGCATGCTCTTTTTCAACGTGAAAAACATGGTAACCGTGTAATAAATGAAAAATTAAAACATATACAATTCGGCACAAATTGCCATGTTATGGGAGAATGTCCACAACATTATCTAAGAAAAACGCTGCTAGTACTTTTTTTTTCAATCAACATTTCCTGCTCTAAGTAGCTGAACAATTGGCCAATCAAAACAACGGATACGGAGAAGCAATGCAAAGAACCAATCAGAATGCGTTTTACAAAAGTGGCGTTTATTTCGAAACTGGGTGAATCGCCATTTTAATTTGTTTACGTCCCTTGTGGTATGATATAGGCCGAAAGTGCCACAATTTCCGTCGATATAAGTGAATTATCTCCGTTCAGAAAATCAGACACGTCGGTAAGTGACTTTTAACCATTGAACAGTGTAGTAATACACCAATATAACGTGTATATAATATAATATTAACAAATGTAATACATATAGATGCTTGATAATAAATAATACGAAGACTACCTCCTAAATATTGAGTCTACAGTAAGGCGTAGTCGTCGCGCCACGCATGTGCGAAACTTGTGTTGATAAACAGTGATTTCCCAATAACCCAGCCCAACCGACCCAATATATAAATGTGTCGAACCCGATCGTACACGTAGTTTAGCTGTAGTTATGTAGCTCTTGGATTCGCCTTTGACGTTTATAAATAAATATGGACGAGGCACAACATTATAGCTCCATGGGCACAGCAAGATTCTTATCCTTATTTCAAAAATAAAGTTGCAGTGCAGTGGACAATAAATTCAATGTTCATTCTGATGATGGGTTTACCAGTGTTCCAAATAAATTCATAATATATTTTGTTTCTGCACACATGAGAAGATGTGGCAAAAATTTCCTATTGGGAGATATATTCCCTGTAAATTGTAATTTGTAAAAGTACTTATAATTTCTTGAAACTCGAAAATTAAAGTTGTATTGTAAACTTGAGTGATGCTCTTTTAGTTTTGAGAAGCTTGGCTGAAACTCAATTCTGAAAGTTCCAGTATTTGTGAGTTATACTGATCAAAAGCTGAGGTACTGCATCGTATATGAACTAAGTACAGTTGTTATTTAAATTCTGCTGTGTGTGTGTGCTGAACACAACTAACCTAGGAAGTATGTTATTAGCATCCTTTCTCAAGTCATTTATGCAGGGTTCTCCCCAGGGTTAACCAATAGAACCCCATTTAGCATAACAATGAATACAAGTCATTATTCTAATGTTATGTAAAATGGTCGATACTGTATGCAATATTTTTGGGTGTGAGATCACTGCTTATGTATGTTCATTTTGCGACTGTGTCTTTTACAATTTGCAGACGAATAAAATGCACCATTGGCATTTAGAATAGGGATGCATTGTTCTCTCTCTATTATATACATTTAGTAAATAAAATAATACATACCAAATGATTACTTGCTGAATAAAGTTCATACTGGACAATAGTATGTTAGAATGTTAATTTTTATTAGAAAGAAAATCTTATAACTCTACTTTATACAGTCTTTATATCATTAATTGTGTGTTTTTAAATAAATGCCAAATATTGGTAATGACATTGCATAATATAGCAGAACCCCACACCCTGCCTGTGGCTTTCGTTGCGTATGGAAGTTATTTTCATGAGTGATGCGGTGTATCCTGCAGCCGTACTTTCACGAGCGAATCGAGTTAAAGTACAGCAGAATACACCGCATCTCGAGTGCAGTTATTTGTTTACAAAATAAAAGTAGTTCGGTCGCCAATGGAAATACCATGTTCATTTGCATATAGACCATGAAAATACCGAAAATATTTTTGCATGGGTGATATGCAAATTAGTTTTAGTGACTGCCTAAAATTACCATTATTTTTGTTCAAATTTCATTTCACTCGGCAAGTGTATTCATGTACCCTAAGGGGAAAATATGGTACTTCTAAATATTGTTTATTTCTGCTATGTTTCGAAAAACTGTTCTCCTGAAGGGCCTACTTTGTTTGCTCTCAGACCTCATTTTCATTTGCATATGGGATGTGGAAATACCAATTTTGATTTCAGGGACGAATAAAAATAAACTGCAGTACATATGTAATAATATACCCCCCCCCCCCCCCCATCTACAGTGAAGTAATTATGTACTTTTTCTTTTACAAGTCATAACTTATAATTCATGTTTGTTCAAACACATCTTGATTCACTATTGAGTATAATAAGGGTGTGGCTAACAGTGCAATTATATACTACATGTAGAGACAAATAACCACTTGGATCACTGTTCAGTTTAGCTTTATTGTCAGAATTTTTAAATCACAATAAAATCACAAATTAATGACAATTTTATAATAAATATAAAAAGTCTTGTGCACAGCAATTTAAAAAAAAACAACAGTTAAAAAGTCTCTTTTTCACTTGGCCTTATATGTATATATAACCCCGGTACTAATATTATACACGTACCTGATCACTGTGACTAATGTTACCTATACTTTCAGTATAGTAGTGCACTGTATGTTTATTTTAATGGTGAACTCCTTATTTGCAGTTATACACAACATGCCTGCAGGGAGAAAGAAACAAGTCTGGGCATATGGAAGGCATAGACGGAGAATTGTGAAGAATGATTCTGACAACTGGTTATCACCGGAATTGAAATCCAAGCAACTGTTTTCATCAGATTCAGAATCAAGTTGTGAGCATAAGTAAGTACATGTACACCTGTTGTTCAACGTGAAAAAGTTGTTTTTTCAGCAATATTTTGCTGGAAGCCCTTGAAATTAAGAGTAACTTGGGTTAAACACCAAATATGAAAATTTAGGCATTACCAAATTAGAATCAGATATAATTTACTTTTATCAACATCGTTTATATTTTCACCCCAACAACTGTTGTTTCCCTGTCTCTTTGAATGATAACTTTGTGCTAAATGTTGCTACACTACTAGAATTGTTTTTTTATTTGGTTGTTAACTTTATAACAGTTATTCAAAACATCGCGCACTGACTAGGGTAACAATCGAGGGTTGTTATCACATGCACGTTTACTCGCCATCTTTTCCTCACTTGTAGCATAACATAATTCGCAAGCACAGTGACTCTAAAATCTGTTTTAGTTGTGTGTAAAATGGCAGAATATTTGTTTAAGGATGCTGTACACCTCTTTGGTAATGTCATTGTATACTGCTGTATTTTAATAAAATATTCAATAAACTATACCATGTTATATATTTTATGAAAGCTTATTTTCCCAGGAATATAAAAATAGTTACAGAACATCAAAATACCATTATGTAATCACGTGACCGCTATGCAAACATGGAGGTGTTATTTTCAGGGAAAATGTAGTTAATGAAGAAAATAGTGAATTTGGGTGCATATTTAAAACAATTTATTTATTTTTACATGATTCCTACACAGTTACAATGATTTCAAGCTTATTAATGGCCGGGTAGCATGATAAAACCTACCGATTTAGCTCTTTTAAAAAACACTTCTCCAGTATAGTTTTACTCGTCGTGGGAAATCCGTTGTAATTTGAAAACAACATCGGCTCACGTAAAAATAATTGGCGGCTGTGTAGGGAAGGGGTAGAAGAGTAATTGTGTGGATATATTTTTGTACTATTCTGAAATCAGAATAGTGTCAGTATACATGGAGAATGAATTTTGTCAAATGAACTACAAATATTTTATTACATGACTAGTGCAGGCACTTAGTAATGACAGCTTTGAGTGAGGACTATGAATGGATTTGCCGACAAACGAATGTTATAGACTAAAACTAACTGAAAATCACCAAAAACACATTTTTTATTCTGATTGCCAATGAGAGCACAATGCGTATCAGAGACGTATTTTTATCTTGTCATGCCGAAATGTTGCATGATGATGTTCGGTTTCAATGTTTTGTAGATTTCAATTCGCTGAAAAATGTCAAATGCTTGTTGATGTCACCAGTTGACATGGACATCTTTTATATGCCCTAGGTAGCTCATTGTTATCATGTTATTTGTATCATGATTCTGCATACTGGATTACAAAAGTGCATCTAAATTTTTAGCTCGGAGATGACTAAGCAGAGCAATTCTTGTACTCTATATGTGCATACATTGGGTGGACCTCTGTCAGATTTGTTCATTCCATGAGGATATCATTAATTTTGTGTTTTTAGAGAATATTTTCAGCATATTTTTGATTACTTCTTAGAAACTAACCAGCCCTATTGTTTTAATATTTAATATCATGTACGTACCTTGGGTAGACTTATGATTAATTTAATTGTGTACTTTTAGCGAATAATTTTAAAATACAAACCATTTTGTGAACAATCACAATTGCTCTGGGATTTAGCCATTAATCCAAAACACAAACCATAATAGCAAGTTGCATCTCAGATTGCACCAGACTCGGCAGTACAATATGCATTCAATAGCTTCAATATAATGTTCATAGATAGAAAGTATAACCCCATTTTGTACAAGTTTAATTTTACTTTATTTATATTTAAAAAGATTATACAACTGAGTTTGTATTTAGATTATAAAATATGTACAACTGTAGATAACTCAAGTGAAAAACAAAAAAAGTAGGAATACTTTATTTTTGATTAGATTTTATTTGTATTGTTGTAAGCGTAAATCAGTAAACATGAAGTCCAGTGAAATACTTCATTTCTATTGCTTTGTATGTAGCGTTTGCTAAAGTCAGTGAAATACTTCATTTCTATTGCTTTGTGTGTAGTGTTTGCTAAAGTCAGTGAAATACTTCATTTCTATTGCTTTGTGTGTAGCGTTTGCTAAAGTCAGTGAAATAATTTCTGTTTTCATAGTATGCATGTAGTGTACACCAAATCAGTCAACAATATTTGTGTTTTGCGCAAAAATAAAATACGTCACAGTATTTCATTATATGTTTTCTACAAGCTGCTCCTCATCTGCATTTTCATCTTTCCTCCCATGCACATCGGGCATAACGTAATATAATTTTTCCCAGAACATTGGATCGTTCATCTCCAAATAGGTATTGGTTGTAAGATACATCTTTATTTCTTTATCAATGTCTAGTTGAGGTATTTTCTCCATTCGAATAACAATAAGTAAGCATGA